CCAAACCGAGTACAAAACCGCACCCAAAGCAGACATTCTGTACAGGGGGCTGGGTGGGCTGGGGAGCAAGCGGGAGGGGCGGCCCTGGGGTCGCTCTGTACAAGTCCAGGTTGGTGACAGCCCAGCAGTCCCCATGGGGCCCCCGAGGGGCGCAGGAGGTGAGTGGGAGCCCCTAGATGAAATATTCCTTCTTGTCATCCCCGCCTGACTGCCCGCCTTCTGCATTGATGATGGCCGTATCCGCATCTGGAGCGTCGTCCGAGCCCTTGGCTTCATGTGTCAGGTAGGTTCCTGTGTGGAGATAGAAGCTCCGCTGTTCAGAAGCTTCTCAGCCTCTGAAGTCCGCCCTGCCCACTTTCCTACCCACCCACTCACACATTGCTCATCTCATCTTTCTCTTGCCTAGAGCTTTCTTCCACCCCACCTTCTCTAATTTGCATTTTGCTGCCAGCATCCCTCACCTGACCACACCCCCATGAATAATGAATCCTACCCTTAACTAAAATCTCATCTATAATGTAGGCTAGGGATAAAAGAGGACTCTCTCTCTCTCTCTCTCTCTCTCTCTCTCTCTCTCTCTCTCGTGTGTGTGTGTGTGTGTATGGGGGGGCATATAGATGAGATGACTTAGACATGACCAGTCTAGGAAGTTAGGCTGCTGGCTGCATGTAATAAAAGAATAGAAGAGAAAGTAAAACAAAGAGAAAAGAAAAGATATGGATGAACATGAAGAGGAAGGAGATCAGAGAAAGAAAAGGCAGCTGAACAGATTGAAAAGAAGAGAAGGGCAAGAAGGAAGGGGCTAGAGACTGGTTTGCGGGACCCAAATGCAGAGCAGGAGGAGCAGCTGACTGAGTGGGCAGGTCTGATTGTACTTGGCTGTTTACCAAGTGATCAGGCTTGACTGTGGGGTTGCTGTTGCTCAGTGATCATAGCATTGGCATCACATGTGTTGGCTGTATACTTCTTTCTCCAACAGCCTTAGGGACAGCCTCAGGGCCCTGTCGGAAGCCCTCTTACTGTCTGTCCTTCCCTGACTGATCTCCCCAACCACCCAAGTCCTCTTGATGCCTCTGACCTTTGTGCCGGATCAAATAGTGTCCGAGGAAGATGAGCAGAATGAGCAACAGGAAGACAATGAAAGCCACAATCCCTCCGATGATAGCGTGGTAGGTACTGGAGGATGAGGGTACCGGACTGGGGTCTGCAGGAGGGCAGGCATACAGTTAGAACTGGGGAGGGGAGGATTTATAACTCACATGCTGAATTGTCCCTGGATAATCTCACAGACAAGACGTCAACATCAGGAGAACCCAGGAGGTATATGCAAGCACAGGGACATGCCTTAGTCTGTGCTCAAGTGAGTATCACCAGGCTGGCAAGGTAGTAATTGTTAAAGAAAATGGATACATCCACCAGGCAATAAACAAACCAGCTCTCATTCTACAACCCAAGTTGCTTTCTTGGTACCAAAGTTTGACCTTAAAGAGAGATAATTGCTTTAATGTCTATGACCAATATCAAAGTTCTCCCTCTTCCCTCTTCTCCGCCCCCATTGTATCCCCTACAGCCCCCCTCACACACACACAAAGACATTTATGTTTCCTTGTTCCTTGACTGTCTTCCATGTCTTCTTACATCCTGTCTGGTATTCTACACTAGTCTCTTTAGGGGTTTCTTTGTCACTTTTCCGGTCTTAAGATCAGATGGGGAAGAAACATCGAAAACTGATGGGCTTGAGGGTTAAGCAGTTGGAAAGCACCTTGCCAAGAAGATGCTAGAGTGTGCCACCCTGTATAAGGCTTGCACATTTACCTAGAGAGCAAAGTTATGGTCTGAGAGGACTTAGAAAACCATCCACCTTCTCTAGAATGAGCCCAGGACACCATGCTCTACCCCAGCATCCTTATCCCAGCCTGGGCTACGACATATACAGCTGCCTTATCACGGAGCATTTGGCTTCTCCTCTCCCAGGTGTTTCTTCCTTCTTCCTTTAGCTCCCCGGCATACATGCTCTTGAACATATCTGGTATTTTTCTTTGGTAATTCTTTCTTGGCAAGGAAGATTAGTGATTCAGTAAAACCCAAGCTTCTCACCCATCCAAGGAAGGAGGCCTCGGGTTCCTCACTGCTTTGACATCATGCAAATGTTTGCGCACAAGACTGGGTTGATTTGTCTCTCCCACAATGGCTAGTGTTCCTTCCAATCACTGTACAAAATTCACCATCCATAATAGGTGTGGACTGATTTCATAGTGAAATCTGGACCAAGAATGTCAATAAAAACACTATCCTTGGTCAGACACCCAAATGTTTATGGACACAAGCCGAAGGCAGCTCTGATGTGTCTACATTAGGCACAGCTATAACTCCCACCTCCATTGGAGAACTCCTGTTTTTTTCTTGGAGTCAGCTTGAGTCTTGAAGCTTCATTAACTCCTATACTTTTTTTTTTCCCCCTACCTTATGTTTCCTCAGGCTTGACTGGACCAGCTTTTTAGTTCCTTGACTTTCTATACCTTAATTGAAAAGGAAACATTTGTGCCTTTTTAAAAAATGTTCTTCTTGGGAAGGAGATGGAGGGTGGCCCAGGAGTTTCATGGTGGGACACATGTGTTGACATGATTTAGGGGAAGATGAGTGAAGAAACACGAGGCTTGGCCCACTGTTAAAGTCAATCCTGGATATTTACTCCGGAATCTATAGATGTAAAAAGTTCTTGGAAAAACACAGCCCTCCACTGTCAAAATGACCTCTGGGATTGTCAATAACCACCCTCTGTCTCCAGGTATAAGTACCTTTCATTTCATTCCTGGCAAGTCTTCACCGGGGAGATTCTTAAAGAGGCTGCAGTAACTCCTTCCACCACCAGGCGTCAGCACTGGCAGCAAACTAGTCAACCTAGGCCTGCTTAGCTTTTTATCCCAGGGCAGAAGGATCAACAAGATACCAACTGCAGGCACATAAACTTTCTTTCATTGTCAGTCAGTATCAGAAATTATCTGGAGAGATCCAGGTGCCAAGCCTAGATTTCAGTGCCTTGTAACTCTCAGGCTAGCCCTGGTGTTGTGCCGAGGTGACCCCAAGCGGTGAGAGGTTGGCTCAGGACTCCTAATCACCATCTGGTCCCAAGCACTTAGGCCTCTTTCTCATCCCTGGGATCCTGGGTGTTAGACACCCCATTCTTCACCTTACTGGGTATTTCAAATGAGGAAAGACCCCAAAGTTTCTCCAACACTTCCCATATTCTGCAGAAAGATTTGAAGACTTTCTAGAAGGATTTCAATGCCATTAGTGTCTTAAAAACAAGAAAACAAATTTCCCTACCAGCTCCCTCTAAAGCCACCTCTGTCCTAGCCTGGGTTAAAGCTGGGTTTGAATTTTCATATATATATATATATATATATATATATATATGTGTGTGTGTGTGTGTGTGTGAGAGAGAGAGAGAGTGTGTGTGTGCTAATGACCATGTATGTCTGTATACTAACTGTGGAGACCACAGGAATTCCATCCACCTGACAACAAGGTCATGGTTGTCTCTCATTAGCTGTGTGCTCATCAAGCGGGATAGACCTTCTCTGTCTCTCCAGCGCTGGAATTACAGATGTTATCTACCACGCCTCTTTCTGTTTTGCTCCAATTGGCTGATATTTTACTGACTAACCCAATATTCTAGGTGTCTGGTGGGCCCAATTTTTGAGAATTTCAAAAAGAAGCAATCTCTTGTTCCTTTGGAAGGTGAAGCATTAGAGAAGAGGTTCGGACCATCTCTAGGCAGAGTGAGTGCTTGTTTCTTTCACTCTTTGCCAAACTATAATGCACACAGAGTCCTTAGGAAGGGAACTGGTGGCGGCGGCGTACATGCCATATCTAGTCCTAGGAGGACGGTCCTCAAGAGGGGCCTCTAGATGAAGTTGATATCCTCCCCGTCAGGTGATAAATGGTTGAATTATCACCTGAATTATTAGCCACTGCCTACAGACAGAGACAGTGGGAACCCATCTTTCTGTTGAATTTCCATTGTTACTCATTACTAGGGCCTAAGTGCAGTGCTTTCCCATAGTGGGCCTTTTTCCATCCACCCTACTACTACTCAAGGGTAAGGGTGTTGCCATCAGGAAAGCAAGAGATGGCCAAAGAAGGGAGATGTTGGAGGAGAGAAGCCAAAGAGGCATACCATTGACATTGAGGGTGAAGTAGGCCGTGTAGCTGCCCATGTTGCTGGTGGCTGTACAGCCATAGGTGCCACTGTCACTCTTGTTCAGGAAGGGGAAGATGAGAGCACTCTCTTGGGTCATCTTCAGGGGTGGCTCACTGCCTTCCTTTACCCACAGGTACTGCTGGGGGCTGTGGAGACAGAAGATTGGAAGTGTTCAGGGCGCCCTGGACCAAAGGGTTAGAGGTATTAAAAAACAAACTAGTAACAGGAAAGGCAGAAACTTCGTGGTGAAGTTTAAGATGCTGTGTGGGCCAGAGGGTGGGTGTTGGTGGGGGTGTGGGAGCATCAGTCTTGAGTACAATTTAGAGAAGGTAGATGTGTTTTGATCTGTATCTCTCTGTGACTTTGTTCCTTCGGGGAACCAATCTCACTTCTGCTGCTTTGCAGTAGAGGTAAAGGAGAGGTGCTGTTGTGGAGTTAGGGGAATAGGAGGCATGACCCTGTGGGCACCCAGGGGGTGGAGGCTATCTGAGTGTGGAAGGTGGTATCAGAAACTGCAGACTGCTCTTCTTACACTGGATTGCCGTGCCCCTCACAATGTAACAACAGCTTCTGGCCTTCCCGGGGATGTGCAGGCTCTGGTCTAATCAAGGCTGTCGGAGTATCTGTGGAGAAGTACATGATGTCAGTGCCAAACTCCCCACTCTGCGTAGGAGATCCCTAGAACCTTGGAATCACCTAGTTACATGCTACAGAGTCTATTCCCTGAAGTCCCAGAAATCTGAGAGCCTGTGAACAAGCCCTTCTTCCTCCAGGCTCTTGTGAACACAGACTGTGAGTGCGTGCCACTGACGGAGAGCAACCTGATGTATCTCAACCTCTGAGTGATGGCATTCCAGCAGGCCTGTCCTTGGGGGGACCTACCGGATGTCTTAGCAGAGCTGAGGAGAATCCATGGTTTATTCATGCCTAGCAAACTGCCTGGCACATGGACAGTACCTAATACATATTTTTAAAGGAACAAAGAAAGTGAACTTGACACTGACTGAGTCCACAACCTCTCAATTCTGTCTGCTCTGTGAGCAAGCTTAGGTGCGAAAGTGACGTGTGAACACAAAATCTCCCTTAGAACCGTCAGTCTAAACGAAGAATAAGAGTATAGAGACAGCAAGGGGTGGGGGTCAAATTTTAGCTGGAAAAAACAAAAGAGACCTGAGACAATATGGATGGCTCCGTGAGGGAAAAATGACATCTGTCATTGATGCCAAAAGGCTGCTTAAGAGGCTGGGTCCAGATGGCGGCTTAGAACAATGTGACCAGATGCTGGTTTGGAACCACAGATAAAGAGGAGGCACTATCCCTAAGGACAGAGCCAACCTTAGCAAGCAGTTAATGAACTTCAGTTATATCTTACAGGACAAAGAGAGCCAGGTCAGGTGAGAAAATGGGTATTCCAGGGCTTCCTAGCTAAAGAGATCTCTAGCAGAGCACCTGGAAAGGTGCATTTGTGGACTGACTGCTGATCACAGGCCAAAGAGACCCTGCAGAGTAATAGCCAAATGGCCTGGTATCTAAGAGAGGACTCTGTAGGACTTCAATACCATAGAGTATTCTTCAATTATGGTCGGGGACCAGGGCTCAAGAGAGCTGCCCAAGGCTCAGGCCCTTACACTTGGAACTGGTAAATACAGAAATACTTTATAGAAATTTAGAACTTGGAAATTTGTAGTTATTTCATGTATATTATTCCATTTGTTGTCAGTATAGTTCAGGGCAGTAAGCTGTATTCAAAGAGAGATGAAATGCTTTGGTCAAGATGATATAGCTAGCAAGGCAATACTAGTCAGCATTGGCTAAAGGCTACACATCAGCCTGCCCATTGAGTGTCATCCAAATGGACTATGGTAGAGTCCAAAATTAAACAATGTTAAGATTGAATAAAAGGTCTAGCCACTGATTAAATGGCACCAAAGTTAGGAAACTAATCAGCTTGTGTCTTCCATAAGAAGATTAAAAGCTCTAGCTATTTTTGAAAATTGCCCAACCTTTTGGTAAATTAGGAAAAGAAATGCATTGTTGTATAGGCCTCCATTCTCAGCTCCCACACTTCAATTATTCCCTTTCCTTTCCATGCAGGAAAGTTCCTTTGAAAAGTTTCTAGATTTCCTCAGATGAGAAATTTGCAAATATTCCAGCTTCTTCAGATGTTCCCTACTGGTATGAAAGGCAGAGTCCACAAAGAGGATGAAGAGGTGTAGAGAAAGTACAAAGCAGCAATGCTGACAACTGGGACCTTACATCAGAACCCCAAGTGTGGAACCGGGGAGAATAGAGAGATGACTGGGAAGTAAAAGTTCATGGACTTTTTGACACCAGAGAGAATTGCGCTTCTCTTCCGCCCACACCTCTTGGCGTCACAGAATCTTAGAGTGAGAAGAGGCCACAATGACGGCCCTGATCACCTCTCTCATTTCACAAATAAACAAGGAAGATCAGTGGGGGAGAGCTGTCTTCACACCACACAACCAGCATGCAGTGAGTACAGACTAGTAACTACATCCCTAGACACTGCGTTTGCTATGATTACCACCGTAGGTTACAGTTTAGTTCCATTTCACCAGTGTAGCCCAAGGGCTGGTAAACTTTGCCCATGGGCTAAATTTTGCCAGCTGCAAGCTTTTGTAAATAAAGTTTTATTGGAATGTAGCCCAACTCATTTGTTTACGCTCTGTCTGTGGCTGCTCTCCCACAGCACAAGCAGTAGCAACTCACTGAGACAAAGACCTCGGCTCTCTGAGCCTGCAATGCTTACTACAGTGCCTGTTTCTCTCAAGTCTTGCCACTTTGACTGTTCATGTTGCCTCATGTGCAGCCAGCAGCACTTTTCTTTTCCTCACTCTCTGCCTCACACCTGGTTCTTCTCACCCCAAAGCCCATGACATACATAAAACTTCAATGCGCTGAGAGGTGGATCTGTCGGCTCCCTTTAGAGACTCATGGTTCACAGAACACACAATGCTTGCTCCATCATCCTCCCGGGTAACTTGGAATGACACTGAGCTGCTCACAGTGAAGGTTTTTCCATTGGGATCTTCCTGGACTCGTGTTTGGTCTCCTGAAACGCAGAAACAGACAGACAGAAACACACACACACACACACACACACACACACACACACACACACACACGCACACGAGATACACAGTCAGTATATACAGACATGTAGATCTTAACATATAGTTACTATCTGGGCCCCACAGATTCTGAGTCTGTCTTGGACAAAGTTAGAAAATGGATGTGAATGTATAAACAGAATGTAGACCCTGACACACACATGTCTACAATGCGTCTGCCATTCGCTTTCTTCGTCTCCATTTTTTCTTATGTGCCATACGTAGGCACACCTCACACACCCACTTCCCGGCACCGCCTCATCCCTGTAACCCCAGGTGGGAGCTACTCACCATGTAGTTCTTGGTCACCTTTCCTCCAGGTGAGCTGGGCTGCAGGTTTGCTCCCAGAAGACTGACAGTTTAGAGTGGCTGTCTCCTTTTCCCGCAAGGATGACTTATAACCAGTGATTATGGGTTTCTGTGGGATTCCTGCCATGGAGAGGGGATGGCCAGGAGAGGAAGGAGAGGCACTGTGAAGTCACATTCCAAGCTCTCCCGGTAGATATGTCTTCTATAAGGGGCAGGATATCTGAGCTCTACTTTGGTTTATGAAGATGGGTGGGAGCATAAAGAGTCAAGATTCTTGGATCTGCTTCCTGAGGACAAGATGGGAAGACTAAGGGGGTGAAGTATGTAGAAGAAGTGGGGATGCTGATAGTGACTGGGTACCCCAGAGTCCAGCTAGGTGGGGCCTTGCAGATAATGAAAGGCTCAGGGGAGTGGAGATGGGAAGTAGAATACAAGATGAAGATAGCTGTATTCAAGCAACTGAAGAACTTCTCCTAGAAATTAGAATTCGATATTTTATACAGATCTTGTGTTTCCACATATAATTTCTGGAATGAAGTGGAATGACCCATTCTTTGCTATAAATTATGAAGTTTATGCTTAAAGAGATTTGTTGCAGATCAAAAAGTAAGTACAGCAGATCAGAACTCAGTTTTCCTTGTATTTAAAGGGAAATGTGCAGAACTTTTCTGATATTGGAGGCCTGCCTGGTTCTGGGATGCTTTGGGGACCAACTGAGGGAGATTTGTTTGCAAAACAGCATGCTGTGGAGACACAGGGGTTTGGGAGCCTCACCGAGCACAGTGACAAGGGACTTGGCGGTTCGCACAGGCATAGTGAAGATGGAGCATGTGTACTCGCCCTCGTCTGCCAGCGCCACGTTGCTGATGCTGATACTGAGCTCGTGGGGAGTGGAGCTAACCAGCTGAATCCGATTATCTCGAAGGGCTGTGGAAATCAGAATTGAGAGTCAGGATGCTGCAAGTACCTTGCATGTTAACCTTCCATTCCTGGGCTACCATCATTGAGGGGAAGAGATGAGCATAGTGGTGTGGATGGAGGGAAAAAAAAAAAAAAACTCCCAAATTAAGACAGAATCATTCAGTGACTTTCATGAGCCACTGCACATAGTAGCTCAATAGGCCAGTATTACAATCTGTATCTTGTGTAATTACTTAGGGAAGGCCTGGGGCTATCTGATATCAGCTCTCCTAAGTGCTTCTTTGGGGTAATAACATTCCAGGACCTTATAAGACTTTGAAGACTATGCATGGCTAAGTTCAGAGCTATAGTTTTGATTCTTCTCTGTAAACCACTGAGGAGCCCATAGTTTATTGCTTTTTCCAATTACATACCTTGTGTTCCTCGGGCTCTGGATTACAAAGACAATCCCCCTCAGCCTCTGCTGTCCCTTTCTCCTAGCCCATGATTCCCATGGAGAAAGGTCACTTATGAGATACTACCTCTCTTCTCCCCAAAATACAACGTCTGCTGGGCAGGATTAGACCACTGCAGGGATGAGTCTTCATGGTCTTTCACTTGGCACTTGAGCACCACGGTGCCACCAGCCACCACTGTTTCATCAGATGTCCAGGGCTGGCTATCTGCAGGGGTAGAGTACATTTAGTTTCATGAGGAGCCCTGAGGATGTCTACCCATTACTGAGCCACCTCATCTAATTCAGGCTACCCAAGGCTCTGGTCTCTGTATACTCTTGAGACTTCATGAGTGAAGGGTGGTTGTGGTAGTACAGGGCAGACAGACCTGATCTTCTCTCATTTTGGATACACAGAAAGTATCATCACTTGTTGAATGTTGGATGAACGGACAGGGTCACAAACACTAAAAGAACAAAAGGCACCCAGACCTCAGCATTCTATTCCACATGTGTCTTTTTAGGTATGGTTCTACCATTCATCACTGAGAACACACATACATATATGCCATCCTATGTTTTGCCTTCCTGTCACCACCTATTGTAAGAGCAAAACCATTAGAAACGATTATAACTGACAATCAAAAACTGAAATGGGGAAAAGTCTAAACCAGCTCTTGGCATGTACATTCATCTATATAAGAAAGCCAAACAAACAAGATAGAAATTAAAAACAGAAACAGTTAAAACATATTTTAAATTTTTTTAGCAATAACCTCAACACAATCATCAAATCCATCATTGGATTTTACTATTATTATTAGTTGTTGCACCTGCTATTCAGACAAGGTCTTACTATGCAGTCCTGGCTGGCCTGGTACTTACTATGCATTCAAGATGCTCTTAAATTTACCAAAGTCCTTCTGTCTCTGCTTTCTAAATGTTGGGATTATAGACATTCACAACCACATCCAATTATTTGTTTTCTTTCCTGGTAAGTCTTCCTGTCTCCCCAAATACAAACCCAATTCACCACCCCAATGCCATTTAAAGAGCAGAAGACTGAAGTTTTCTCCTCAATGTGCTGAAGGCATATTTTCTAATTCCCCTCTCCATAGAGAAATTAAACAAAACACAAGCTCCTTGCCTAGCATTTAGGAAGCCCTGGACTGGATCCCCAGCACCACAATGACTGGTTGTGATAGAACACATAAGTTATCCCATTACTCAGGAAGTAGAGACAGGTGGAGAAAAAGTTATAGTTTATCCTTGGCTATATACTGAGTTTGAGGCCAACTTGGACTGCATACACCCTGTATCAAAAATAAGACACACATACTACACACACACACACACACACACACACACACACACACAAGCACGCACACACACACAAGCATGTATGCACACACACACACACTCACAGAGAGAGAGAAAGAGAGAGGAAGAAGGATGGAAAGAAGAAAAGAAAGAAGAAAGGGAGGAAGAGGGAGGTAGAAATCCAGATATCTTTTGGACAAATCCATTGAAGGCTAAATGAATCTTCTCCTCAGGCCTAGCTGTAAACCTCTCCAATGCTGACATCTGTTTCCCACACCAGGCATTGGGCTGAGTTCCCACAGCATGGATTCTGATTCCTAATATTGATTGCCTCATCTTCAGAATCGCTTTTAGTGACCCAACAGCAGTGACCTCCTCAGAACTAATCTAAAATAATCATCTCCCTTCTCTGCTTCAGGAACATCCAAAAATCTGCTCTATGCCACAGAATTCCTCAACCAGCAATATCCATGGCTCATCAGGAAACCAGGAGACATGCTTACCACATTGTCCCCAGAGCACTGTAAAAACAATCAGATGCTCCCTTTGCCACAGATTGGACCCCACCTGTATGCCTTTTTCTTACTTTTCCAGTCACCTGACTTGCATCACCCTGAGTGATTGTAGCAGAGAGAAGGCCCTAAGGAGGTACGGCATGCTGGAAATGATGCCAAGCAAGGACTGGTAGTTTTTGAACTGGAGAATGAAGCCTGATGGTTAGTACTGCCTAGGATTGTAAAATCTGGAAGTGGGGGCGCTCACTGGGACCAGGAACCCAATTCCCTCATCTCATAGGCACAGGCAGCAAGGCATTAGAGGTGAAGGGACTCCTAAGATCAGTCTACTAGTTCTCAACACTGTGACTCTTCTATCCTCAAACAGAGCTGCCGTTATTGGAGTTCTTCCTAAAGTGATCCTGTGAAAGGAGAATTAAGACTATGATTGGATTTTGAGATTATTGTGTAGCCACTGAGCAAATTTGGAAGTGAAATTTTCTCAAAATGTCTCAATGGAAGGTGTCTGAGGCCCTTCGTTTGCAATAGACATATATTGATTTCTAACCTCTAATCCCTCTGTCCTTGTCTCCCTTGAAGAATTCGTCTCTGACAATGCCTCTCCGGGACCTCTTTGTTTTGAGCAGTCCACTCCCCTGGAGGCATCTTATTTTTGGAAAGAGGTGTAGGGTTACAGAGGTCTTTGTACCAGAGTGAGGTAAGGAGTTGGTGCATGGGAACGTGGCGGTGGTGGTGCAAAACTAACAACTAAATGCCAAATGGGAAGGAAAGCTGTGCGGTCACGAGTGGTGTGAGAACATGGGGTGGAGTTCCATGAGTGGAAATGATGTGAGGATGAGTGAGGCATCTGGACAACATTGAGATGAAGGGCCTGGTATCTCACCTTGACTGGCCAGCATGTCAGGGCTGCTCCAGACTGTGGAGCTGAGGGCCTCGTCCAGTGGAGCCAGAGTTCCCAGCTCCAATTCCTGCTCCTGCCAGTAGCCTGGGGAGAGAACCTGCATCAAGGATGAACCCTGTGCACACTACTATAGCTTGTGTCTACACTTCCATTGTGGGGGTGTGGGAGGGGCTAGGCTTCACCAACAAACCTAAGAGAAAGTGAGACATTAGCAAGAGTTCTGAAAAAGGAAAAGGCTCTCCTCTGACGGGCCACTTAATGGTGGATGGTAACAATTTTATCTGTCAGTCACATAGTGTTGGAGTCAGAGAACTTGGAGGCCATTCAGCCCAGTTTTCCCACTTCACAGATGAGGACAAGAAGTCCCCAAAAAGATTGACAGGTCCTCACTACAACTGAAAACAAAACAAAGCACTAGAAACTCTTTATCCAGGATTCTTTTTGTTGTACCACGTTATCTATTAGCACAACATTAGGCTTAAACATTAGAACATATTTTCACTTTTGATCCTTTCCCTTAACCTTTGCAAAGTGCTGGCATCGCCATTCCTCTTTTGACGACTGGAAGTAGAATGAAATGACTTGCCCAGAGTCTTGCAAATTGAGGAGAGACTAGAAATGAAATGCCTGGTTTCAAATCCCACGCTCTATGTTCCAAGGTGAGACATCCTCGGCACTGAAGAAAGACCGACGTTGGGGCTATAAGTTGTACTACAACTTGCCAGAACCTTACCTTCTGTGCTCAGATTCTAACTCTTCATACTAGGTTCCCAGGATTCTGCCTCACTCAGTCTGCACCTTCCTTTGACGCAACCAAACCTTGTTACCCGGGCAATCGTCACCACCTCCCTTAGGACTAGATCGCTGTTACACTCTCTTGTGAACTACAGTGGTGTCTGGGGTTCACAGCTCCAACCCAAACGGAAAGAGCAGAGGGACAAAGAAAATGGCTAAGCATCTTTTCAAGATCTCCCGCCACAGAGCCCTAGAGTGGCCAATCACATCGCGAAAATCCAGTGAGCTCATCAGGGGCTGAGCAGACACTGGAGCTGCTTCTCTTCCTGGGACAGCAGTATAGAGAGAAGTTTGTCAGTCGTCCCGACAGCAGCCACGGTCCGGGGTGGGGGTGGGGAGGATAAGAAGGTGGAGGTGGGGCTAAGACAGGGCAGGTGGGTGGGTCAAAACTGAAAAAAAAAATGCGATATGGACTTCTCCGGAGAAGAAAGGAGACAGGAGTAGCGAGAGAAAGGATTAATCAGAAGAAAAAGAAAGCAAGTCGGTGAGGGGAGGAGAGAGAAGATGGGGTAGCTGAGAAAGAGGGTGGAAAAAAGAGGGAAGGGAGAAAGGAGGAAGGGAGAGTCCAGTCCTAGCATCAGATAAAGCTCTAAGAGAGAGTTTCTCGGATTGGCTGGCCGCAGTGTAAACAGTCCCCCTTTCCACTGCTCCAGACCTGGGTCTCCCAGAAGATTGTCGAATTTACTTTGTTCTAAGTGAGAGATCAGTTACATCTCTACCCGGAAAGGGGGAGTGGGAGGGGGCAAAAGAAGAATTGATGAAGAGAGGCAAGGATGAGAAAATGGGGAGGTTAGGGCTCTCGAATCCAGCTGAGAGACAGTCCCAGGTACAGAGGCCTCCTCCTGGGGTTGCTTTGTCTGGACACCAAGGATGAAGACGACTGGACATTGGTGAGTATTTCATGTTATTTTCCAGGTTATACATTTTGGAATGTGCTGTGTCAACATCACGTAGGGAACAGGATTGGTTGTACTAAGGCATGGGCCTGAGGGACAGGGAGGAGCAGGGTAAGGGTGGTCTTTGCTCCCTCATAGGGCATTGCTAACCCAGCCCACAATCTGAGAGCCACTACTCAGGCTAATACTTCAGTGTGGGACTTTCAGTTTGCAGAGCGGATTTTCACCCATGATTTCATTTAATCTCTAAACGATTGCTAGTGGTACGCAGCCAGATATAATCACTTTTAAAGTTGACATCCAAAGAGGTTCCTTGGCTCACCTAAAGGAACACAAATAGCGCAATTCTCAAGAACCCTTTCTACCCCTTGTGGGGTTCTCAGCTTACAACGCCCGGCCCGTTTCCCAGAACATTTGCGCACGGCACTGTGGTGTGTGTGGTTACCAGGGTCTGCTTCTAAACTCTGAGCTGGATAAGGGCAGAAACATGACCATTTTCACCTATGTTTGTTTCTTTAACACTCCCATCCTAGTGAGATCTAGGTGTACGTGACTAGTCTGCACTGGATTTACCACTTCGGTGGTACCAGGCTGTCTGCACTGCTAACCAGGCGGAGCCAGTTTCTGGTCTCCACTCTTCTGCTTCTTACATCTGTGCTCTTGTCTGCATCTCCCTCAGTGACTTCTCTCCTTGCTCGTACTTGTCTGTCATCTCCCCATCCCCACTTCTGCTTGTCGCTTTTCTTTTCTGCATAGGAATAAATAAGTAAAATGGTGATGTACATCATTTAAACACAGCTGAACTGTTCAGAGGCAGAAAGCAACAAATAACCTTCAATAAATGACATGTTTGGGGTGTGCATGATTTATTGCCTCTGTACATTTGCAGAGAACTCACTTTGGTTTGTAGTATTTTAGGAAACCGTTTAGGACATGGCTGGGGCATTGCTTCCCCTTCTATGGGGTGTGTATGACATATCTCCTAATCCTGAAATGTCGTTATGATCTTATATCTCTACTCTTGGGAATTCCATTAATACGTCTGAAAGTTACCCGATTTTATGAAACTGTAGGCTGCTAGTCATGCCTTCTGAATGGCCATTCCTGTGGGAGCAGGTGAGTGATTGTAATGCTATCATCAGGAGCATGGATAAGTAGCACAAATTATAAGCCGCTTTACGAAAAGCTTGAGCTATCTTTGGATTAAAATTGTGCCAGTCATTTATGACATCATCATGATTTCCCTCAAAATGTTTGGACAGAAAAGAGAAGAAGCTGAGGAGTATTCTAAAGGGGACATAAGGACTTGGAAGTGGAGCTAGTAAGGATTCTATGCAGGGACCTTGGAAGGAGCTGCTGGCATACAGCCGCTGCTGAAGAACACCCTTCCTACATAGGGACAGCCATGAAGGAAAGCTCCAGTCTTGATCATATGAGTTGGGGAGTGTCACTCTTACTAGTCATATTGTTATCTACTTAACATACCTTCTCTGACTTTGAATTTTATTCTCTCTCTCTCCTCTCTCTCTCTCTCTCTCTCTCTCTCTCTCTCTCTCTCTGTGTGTGTGTGTGTGTGTGTGTGTGTGTGTCAGAGAGAGAGAGTTGTATGTAGGTTTGTGGGTTCCTGAGTTTGTGCCTACATGTGCATTCAGCTATGCATATAGCTGTCAGAAACTAACATGGTGTGTCTTCTTCACTCGTTCTCCAGCTTATATTTTAAAAATTATTTTTTTAGAGGGGAAACATACCATAGTGTCTGTGTCAAAGCTGGAGGAGAACTTGCAGGAGTCAGTTACCTTCTTCCACCACAGGGGTCATTGGATTGAACTCCGGTTGTCAGTCTTGGCAGTAAGCTCCTTTACCATTTACTTGCTCTTTACCTAATTTTTTCTAGAAAGGTGTGCACCTGACACCCCAAGCCATTAGTGCTGGGTGTCCAGATGCATGCCACTATGTCAGGCTTTTACGATGAGTGCTGGAAGTCTGAATTTAGGCCCATAGCAAGTACTTTATCAAGTCATATTCCCCACCAACTTTACATTGTCTGTAGATGGTACCCAGATTGGTTAGTCTGGCCTTCCAGGCTCTGTACAGTCTGATGTGAACCCACCTGTCAACTTTGTCTTTCCTCCATTTCATTAATCCCACATTCTAGACACAGGAGCTCTTTAGAATTCCATTTAGAACACTTGCCATCCTGGGTCCATTCCCTGTTCTATAATAATTTGGTTCTAAAGCTGTTCACCCATCTTCACAGGTCTTAACTCTAGCCTTTAAGCCTACTTTGTGTAGCTCTTATTTCAAGAACACTTCCTTGGTGGCCTAGTTGGGAATTCTTCCCCATATCTCTGAGTTGCATTGCTTTCCCTGCCTACTTTATGTGATGCAGTGCCTTCGACCTTGCACTGCAAATTGGGCTCCTTCCTAAATCATAAAGATCCTATAAGAACAGTTGATGTCTGATTCATCTTAGTATCAATACTGGCCCTAATATATCGTACATAGAAGGTGCTTAATAAATATTTATTTATTAAATGAATCAGATGCCGAGTATCTTCTTTTGTGAGAACAGAGCTCAAAATCTGTTACTGCAGAGAAAGTAACAAATCCAAAAGCAAGAAAGAAGTAGCCTAAGAAAAGTATGGAGTACCTAGAACATGAACATCCAGATATCTACAAGACAGGACTTGATATAAAAAATAACAACAGCCCCCCCAAAAAAACAGTTTAATCTCAAGACTTAAGTTTAAAGAGGTTGACATGCATAAGTCCAGTCAATTAGGGAATTACATGGTGCATCTAGTAAGGGTTAAAGCTTGTCACAACAAGCTTTAATCATAGGTCTCTCTGGCCATGAAGCTCAGGATTTCTGCATCTTCCCACCTGCCTCAGTAGGCAGAAGCAAGTGTTTTGTGTGTTGTGGTGGTGGGTTGGGGATAGGTGAGGGAAGACTTTCCTATATTTTTGGCCAGGGATGGCTTACCTAAATGCTATTCATAACGCTTACCTGCAGAATGAAAACAATTACAGAGCAGCAGGTTAGAGCCGGTGCTTGTGGTGGTGATGGTGTTGTGGTTAGCATCCAATGAGTTATGCTTTTAACTGCTAATGCTGGATATTCCATTCTAAAAGACAGTCAGTATCCTGGGCCACATTTTATAATGTGCCTTCACTCCCTACTTTGGGATCTATTTTGTCTACCCCTAATTGTCTTACAATGTGGGACTCTTTGGTTAGCCAAACAGCAGATATGTTTATTTAAAACTTTTGACAAAATCTCTTTATGTTTTCATCACTTTGTAGCACCTAGGCTAAAAACTGTGTTGGCTCTCAATCATTTTGAGTGTTTCTTAGTTCTTGCTTTATTTACCCATGGGTTCTGATAGACTTAGACTTCCCGGCATTTTAGAGG